TTAACATGTTATCAACAAGAGTTAACATGTTAGCCATAAGAGTTAACAAATTAGCCACAAGAGTTAACATATTATACATAAGAGTTAACATGTTAACTATAACAAGAGTTAATATATAGCCACAAGAGTTAACATGTTATCCACAAGAGTTGACATGTTATCCACAATAGTTAACATGTTTGCCACAAGAGTTAACATATAGCCACAAGAGTTAACATGTTATCCATAAGAGTTAACATGTTATCCACAAGAGTTAACATGTTAAACACAAGAGTTAACATGCTAAATATTGTGGTTAAAATATTAACTATATGAACTATTAATTATTATTTGTTAACGGTTATTTATAATTTATTAACTATTAATTATTATTTGTTAACTGTTATTTATAAACTGTTAACTATAATGAATTATCTGTTAACTGTTATTCATAAACTGTCTGTTAACTATAATTCATGTTTGTCACAAGAGTTAACATGTTATCCACAATAGTTAACATGTTAGCCATAAGAGTTAACATATAACCACAAGAGTTAACATGTTATCCACAAGAGTTAACATGTTAACTATAACAAGAGTTAATATATAGCCACAAGAGTTAACATGTTATCCACAAGAGTTAACATGTTAACTATAACAAGAGTTAATATATAGCCACAAGAGTTAACATGTTATCCACAAGAGTTGACATGTTATCCATAAAAGTTAACATGTTATCCACAAGAGTTAACATATAGCCACAAGAGTTAACATGTTATCTATAAGAGTTAACATGTTATCCACAAGAGTTAACATGTTAAACACAAGAGTTAACATGCTAACCACAACAGTTAACTGCACAGAGAACAACATCAAACTCCTTCTCAGTTCAACTGGAGCTTACATGACAACAAACAACAGCAGACACAAGATATCACCATCACAAATTTGTACAACAGTAGACACAAGAAATCACCATCACAAATTTGTACAATATTTATATATACCACACCTTGAGTTTATTACTTCTTTCTTGATTTTGATATACATCCAAGCCCCAACATGTTGAGATTAGGGGATCCTCACATCTTGAACTGGCCCATAAATACTATAGAAAATAACAAGAACCCAAATCAGTTTTAACCCCTAACGTCGTCGCAGCCGCACTGAAATCAAAACGAGTCATCAAAATCCACGGAACCCACCGTCGAAAGCCTAAAAAAAGAACTCGGCCAGCCGCCGTTCACCTACCTCTGGTTCATGGGCGACAACGGGGACATCGGCAAGCTGCCCGAGGGGGTACGGAAACCTGGCGACGGTGGCGGCGGCGAGGCCATTATGGCGGCGTCGAGCTTGTCCTCGTTGAGGTCGTGGAGGAACCTGCACCTGTTGCCGTTCTTGCAGAACCCCCTAGCGAGGTAGAGACAGGGGTGACGGAGGTAGCGGCGGTGTTGGAGGTTTCGAGTGAGGTTAGAGAGAGGGTGGAAGAGGAGATGGGTTTGTAGGAAGAGGAGTAGATCTAGAGAAGATCTGGAGAAGAAGAAGAGGGTAGTTTGGGAAGTTTTTGTCTTGGAAATTGTAAATGGGGCTGATTCACATGGATTTTTCATTTTTGGGGAAAAAGCACATTAGAAAAAGTTCAAGGGGCTGGAACACATCACCAATTTAGTTTTGGGGCCTTGAAGCAATTTTCCCAAAAATAAAAAAATAAAAATAAAACCCACCCTCCCCTCACGGGCATCCCCTTTTAAACACCCCATCCGTCCCAAGCTCTGCTCACTCTTCCAGCCTCCTCTTTACCCAACTCACACGCACTAATCCGAGCCCAGTTTCAAATGGACCCACACACTGCCCTCGCCTTCTTCTTCTTCCTCGTCCTTTCCTCCTCCTC